TAATGATATTTTTATCGGTCATTCATTACCTTTACAAACTGGCCACTTATTTTGTTAAAATTTGTTGAGGAAACTTATAGACCCAAGAGGGCTAAGATTTCTTGACTTGTAAGTATCACATTTCACTTTGGAAAGAGCAGTGACGATCGTCCGAGGGGGAGTGTAGAAAGATAGGGAGATAAGATTTGATGGGCATAAAATTGATGTTTTGAGAGTGACAAGATAGATTTTTTTATCAATTTGATCTAGAGATTGGAACAAAGGGTCACTGGTTGGTCCTATAAAGAGGGCCCAGTGGGTAATCTAGGGTGAGAGAGTAGAACATACCCAGCATTACTATACATGTCAACACCAACTTTAGATTAGTCAATGTGTATGCTTATATTTGTATTGAAAGAAATAAAGAATATGTATGCTTATATTTGTCACAATACCACGTTTAAACTTCTAAACATTTGAGATCCTACACTAATTATGAATTATTTGCAAGGAGAAATTCTCTTTTTATGTATTTTCTATAATCATTAAATTTACTTTTAATTGCATTTGTAGAAATTAATAAACTTAATTTCATCATTATTACTTTAGATATTTGTTGCATTCTTAAGTAAAGCCCTCTTAAAGTTGAAATTCCTGAATTTCATTTCTTTTTTTTATAGTTCCCAGTGGGTTTGATACTGTGCTTTTTATAAAATATTATATATTACTAGAAACCATACGTATAGTTGCATAACACCCCTGGTAAGAAAAATATTTCTTTAAATTTTATCATATTACATTTGTTCTCATTGGCCGCTAAATATAATTTAGGTCAAGTTTTTCGCATATTAAGTAATATAAATATCTGTGTAATTGCGGGTCGGGTCATATAATAAGTCTAGGTATTTGGAGCTTAAAGGATGCAAAAAGTACAAAATTAGGAGTCCAAAATGGTTTTTTCCAAAAATTAAACCAGCGCTTAAGCATCAGATTATAGAGAAGACAGCGCCAGATTTTGGCACCAAGGCGCAAGTGCCAGTTATTTTCATATATGCATTGAATTTAGACTGATTTTGAAGAGGTGTCTATGGAGACAGTGTTTTTATATCAGAATGATGAGGATGGCATGAGTCTCTAGAGAGAGTTAGTGAGTGGGGCGTGAGTTCTAAGTTGCTGGAGATAGTGCAAGTGTCTTTAAGAGGTGTAAGAGGAGAGAAAAAGCGAGAAATTTCTTTCTCCTTACATTTTTAAGAGAGATTTGAGTGTTATTGTAAAGAGAGAAAGAGATTCAAAGGAACTTCAAGGGATTTGTTTGGGGAAGAAATCAAGTTAAGTTGTCTTACTTTTCTTTCTTATTTTATAAACTTATTTTTATATATAAAATCCGTGTTTTGTTGTATCTTTTTCATGAATTCTGAGTAGATTTCTTTATCCTTCTCCCTACAAAGAGATATAGTCATGTGAAGAATCAAAGAATCAAGTTGTTGTGCAATATTCTAATTTCATATTTGTGATGATTTAAACTTTAAACTTCATTTACTTTTTTATCTAACCAATAGAATTATTAAAATTTGTTGTGAAATATACGATCCAAAAGGGCTATGTTTTCTACAACAAAGTAAGAGTCACATTTGATTTCATGGATGAGAATGTAGTCCATGAGGTTGAGTGCAAATAAGGAGGGAAATATTCATTGATGGAGAGGGAAATATTCATTGAAAATATTCATTGATGGGGTAGAATTGGAGATTTTAGGATGACAGACTAAAATTCTTAATTTAGTACAGTGTTTGGAAACTAAAGCGTGATGTTAGCCCTCAATCGAGGGGAACATGAAACTCTGAAGTGAGAGTCAGTATCTTCCCAGCCTAACCACAGATTCATGGACTAAACATCAGATTAGCCATCGTTCTTTATCACTTGTAAAAAGGATAAAGAATATAACTACTCCTATTTGACACAATAAAATTTTCTTAAATTTGATTATTCATTAACTATAAGTATAACTGTCTTGTGTGTTGCGGTGTTTAAAAACATTTATAACGCATACCAAAAATCCGTATCAAGTTTTTGGCACATTTGCCGGGGAGGCTACGGTAAATTCCTTAAAATACTTTATTTAAACTATAAATTTTATTTTAAAAAAACAAAAAAATATAAAATAAAATAATAAAACGACAAAAATATTTTCATTCTTATTTGTGCTTATTTTTAGAATTGTTACTTGTATTTGTGTATGCGAAAATTAGGATCTGAAATATTAATACCTTATGATTCGCAATTTGAACAAACTATAAGAAAAATTCGAAAACAAAACGAACTTGACAAAATGACAAACAATTTAAAAAATCAATGTATGGAAAATGAACATCAACAAAGACCATTAATAGACTATGCTAACCATATGAAACAATCTGACTTTAAGACACAAAGTACCCCTAATTGAAATAATATTTTCTTTTCGATGAGCCCAATATAGAAAGATTATAAAACATAAATAATATTTCTTAAATTATGAGTTTTCTTGGATAACCCCAATAAAAGTTTAACCAAGTGGAATACATTTCCTTGGGAGTTCTATGACCCTAAAATAAATTATATTTCGATGGTTATGATTGAGAAGTATTATTGGGCATTTCTTCAATAATGGTGTGGGGTGAATTGGCTTGAAGTAGCTTTAGAGTAACATATTTAACCCATTTCATGAAGAGCACTTTATAGATATTCATATGTTGAATTCATTATTTATTTCTCCTTACTCTTTTATCAATTTGATAAAAAGATTATGAACTGAAATTTTGAACAATCATATCAATATCATAAAAAGTTTTCAAAAAAATCTTCACCCATAGTATCTCCTTACCCTTATTTAGCAAATAATACCCTGATAATCCTTAAGGATGTCATCGATGGAATGACCGTTCAAAAGATGAGGGTGTATAGGGACAAATTCCTCATAACTAGTGATCAGATGAGCATTCTTTATTGGTCATGAAGGGGGGCAACACTCTCCCATGAAGCAATGAGCCTCTAATATTATCTCTATCAACTTGGGTTGCTACTCCTTCATAGCTGATGATGAAGAAAAATTAGTTGGAGGTACCAACCCAACATGATCAGCATGTGAAGTATGTAGGGAACCCGTAGGTTAGAGGTTGATGACCAGCCTTGATAACAACTCTAAGCGTCGATGTATCTGAAACTTTGATGGCACATTAGATTGTGTAGTATCATCCAATAGATGGAGAACTATAGGGTGAGCGATGTAAAGGTAACATCATCTAGTAGAGTAGGCAACCTCTTAAAACTAGTAAGAAGAATGTAATTTAACGATCACTTCTCCTTTTGCTCTTTTAGATAGCCATCCATTAGAGCGGTTGTCATGGGTTACTTGGAAAATTTCTTCATCCTTAGGAGAATACTAAGCAACTAAATGAGCATTAATACACATCTCCTTCATGATGGTTTTATAGACCCTACCCTTCATTGCTCAAAGGATATCAAAGCAAGTAGCATCCTCCTTATTAAACATCCCTAGAAAATATCATAGAGGGTAGAGTATGGTTACTTCCTCTTAGGATTAGAGTTAGACTATGGGGTAAATGCATGGGGTGGTGATAAAGGGATCTAATAGGTCTTCTCCCCCCACCCTAAGTGAATCAGGTCTCACCAAGGAGAGGGGTGCATTAGATTGTAACTCCTCACGAGACACATTTTTGGCTTTGATATCCATTAGGTAAGCTTTCTTTCAAAGGCACTCATGCATTCTACTGATCTTGCAATTCTTGTTCCTCCTCTAAGGTTTACGAAGAGGAGAAAATTGGGCGTAAAGCCCCACCTAAATTTTAGGGGCTAGCAATTCTTCAACTTTAAATACAATGACTCAAATCTTCAGCTACTTTCTATATGGGAACCCATTCAATAGTAGATAGGGGTCAAACAACATGGTTAATAGTAAGAGTCTTCATCACTTTCCTCTTGATTACAGGAAAGTCAGACTCTGAGCGTAAGCTAAACTTCGAGGCAGACTAGCAGTTAATTGCATACATAGAATCAATAGTGGTGAATGCTAGACCATTCAAGGTCATCTAAAGACTGTGAAACCACAAACTAAACTTGATGACACTCCCATTAAGGATAGAATATAGGTCAAGTTCATGCAACAAGAACATAAATATAGGCATTCAAAACATTTTATTGTAATTGGATCATAACAAAATGTTAGTATCTCCACAAAATTCAGATTAAATCTAAAATAGATTATTGAGATTTGGGATCCCTATTAACACGTATTGAGTTGTGAGATGGATTAATTTTTTTAAAAAAGAAATATGTAATGCCATCAATAATGTTGTAATCATTTACCACTCTTAAAATTTGAGTATTAAATTTGAATTTTGAATTTTGAATTTGAAATATTTTATCTATACTATTATTTTTTTCTTTGAAACTAATAAATTCTAATAAAGTAATAATAAAAAAAAACAATAAAATTGGCAATGCCAGACCCATACCAGGTGAATAATATTAAGAATTTTTTAAAAAAATTTATACGATTGATTTGAAAATTTTTTACTCCGCCATTAAATAAAATTATTTGAGAGAGACTCATGAGAGGCAATCAAATTTTGATTTTTACTTAGTGTAAATTGGTTCATTGCTGCTCTTGAAATATCTGTTGTGCCCCTCTTGAAATATCAATTTGTTCTTCATCGTCTTATTCTCTCCCACGTCAGGCCTAGGGGTCAGTTTGCATCCCTTTAAAATAAAGAGCTGGCTTCACATCTTGAGAGACTTTGTTCTACAATGAACTACAAACATATGTTCTATAAACATCATAATCTAACGAGATAATGAGAGGTAAAATAATCATGAAGCTCTTATGATCAAAAGACTGCATATTTAAGATTTTGAATCTTATTGATCCAGTGAAAATTTTATAGCATATTTTCCACAAAAATAAAATGAAATTTATTAAATTTCACTCTAACACACAACACAAACACACGCATAATGTTCTCCGTAACAATTACTTGCGGCCGCAGTTTAAAAATAATAAACCTTTTTTATGCAGTCTCCAATCTCCCTCCGTCGCCAGCGCTATCTAGGTTTTAGGTTTTCTTCTCTATACTTGGGAAGCGACAATGAGCTCTACGTCGCGGAGAAACTCTAAATCAGAGAGGCAATCCATCTTCTTCCACGACCTCGCCTCGCCGGTCTCCATCCATCGCGCTGGCGGGAGATTCACTACCCCCGGCCAAGCGGCTGCCGTCTCCGCCCTATGGCACGAAAACTTAGGCGGATCGGAACCTCCGCCACCACCTGTATTCACACTGGAGGATCGCGTTGACTTCTCCCCCGAGCCTAACATCGGCGAGTTTCCGACATCTCCGGAGCTAGGCTCCGGTTCGAGGACACCAAAGCATTCGCACGGGTATTTATCTTCTCCTCATAGTGGCAGGGCGGAAGCGAATAGCTCTGTGTTGAGTAATGGTGGGTTGCGGGCTGCTAAGCAGCAACACCAGCATAGTCCCGGAAGTTCTAGCTGGTGGTCGCCCGTTAAGGCTGTGGAGCCTGAGCAGGAGGAGAAGGGGAGAGGGTCTCCAGTGGATGGTGTAGTGCAGTCAAGAGCTCTAATTATGCTTCCACCTTTAACGGAAGCTGTTAGGCCGGAGATGCAGAAGAACAACCTACACATGGAAACATTGGATGAGGAAGAATGGGTTACTGTTTATGGGTTTGTGCCATCATCTTGTTTTCTATCGTCCCTTTTTCCAGCTATCATGTGAGCTTGTGAAATTATGTTGATCTAAATGTATGTTTATGCTGTGCTTCATTGGATACTTGGTTTTACCTTTTTATCTGTCAATGAATTAATACTGGTGTTCGAAGTGAAATTTGTTTATGATTCCATGTTTTTATGAAGTTCTCCCAGCTGTTGCGGAGTGATGTCTGTACGCTATGCAGAGTCGTTGCGACACGATTTTAAGGTCGATGAGTTATCTTATAATGACAGTTTCATGAATTGAATTTTGTAAAGGTGGTATTGATGGATGCAGAGAAAATGGCGAATAACTTAGGATATTTTGTGAGCTTTATTATTTATTTAATACATATCTATCACGATGACTAATTTAGGACTGATTCATCTAGTGATTCCTTTTAGATGGCTATCAAGTCTATAGAATGATAAAAATTATGTTTCCTGCAATCCAGAATGAAAAATTGACTATGAAATTAACACTCAAGTTGCTTGTGTAAACTATCATGTGATCTTACATCACTCTACACTTATACTATCCACCATTTTTACCTTTTTAAAAATTAAAATTAATGCTATTTATTAAACCAAACATTATTTTTATTGGCGATAAATGTTGGCATATCAATTAGAGCCACAAATTTTAAAAATCCAAGGTACTCAAACATTTCTTATGTCAAAAACTTGATGAGAAAAAGATTTTGGGTCTTATCTAGCCAAAAGAAATTTGTAAGTATTGAATTTATATTACAATGTTTTTCGTTTCTCGCAACTTTTCTCGCAATAGATTTGATAACAAGGAATTAAATGAAAAAAAGCAAGGGTGTAATAGTGTTTGAAAATCAACAAAATATAAAAAGTTGCTTATTGAGTTTTTATGTGTTTGATTTATGATATTACCATATATCTCTCTTTTTTTATGTGCATCATTTGGAAATGAACTTGCTACTCTTGCATCGAATGGCACCTAAGGAACATAGTCGTTAATTTCAAATAACACATCAGTTTGCTTATACATCTATGGAGTTAGCATGTAACACATAGTGTGGTGCACACTATTTTAATCATGTCATTGAAAATTAAAAATCATTAATTAAAATGTAGATATATTTGATAGATATTTATATTGAAAGATAAATCATCTTGCTAATTAAAACAACAAAAGTGATTCTTAAATTCAAGAGCTCGAAACCCCAATCATTTAAAATTCATAGTATTAATTTTTTTCCTGCGTAAAATTTTTGTAAGAAATTAAACTAGTAATCTAAAGAATAATTATTGCTATCATAAGTACAAAAAGCCTCATTTTTTTCATCGCTATTGTCCTTATAATTTTTTTTTTATTCAACCTCATATCTTCGTGTTCTGTTGCAGCAATATTCAGTTTACATGAGATTTTTTCTCCTTTCCTTTAGATTACTTTTGAATATTGTAGCTTCTTTCATGAATACCAATGGCCTTTGAAATATTATTTCACATCAAAATTTTCTCATCAATAACTAACTTATTATTTTCATTTAACTCATCATCCATTTTTTCTAGTACCTACTCGTTAGCATTATTCATGTTATTTAAAAGGATAGGATAATAGGGAAAATATTATGAATCTTATTTGCAATTAAATGTTATAAGTTTATAGTAATACTAGCTATGGTTTATGGATTTGGGTTTAGGTAAAATACCAATGTTCTCCATAGCCCAATTGCTTGTGGAAAACTAAATTGTTAAAATAAAATAATGATAAAAATATTGAAGGTTGATTGAGAAGTTATTACACTGAGGGATGAGGTCATTTTATTGATGACAAATTAGCAGAAGTATTTTCTTTTATTTTTTCCTTTTCAAGCAAAAGGTAACTTAAAGGAGATTGATGGATCAGCTATATAGAATAGATTACTATAAAATAATTACAAAGTAAAAATTGAGTAAAGATTTCATGGTTAAAAGTTGTGGAAAAATTTGCAGTAAATGAAACTAGCCCTCTTGTTATTGAGACTGATAATTTTGTTTGAAAGTTGACACTCGCTCGATAATTGTTAGGATTTCAACTGACTCAAATTCAAACTAATTTATCTGGACTCAAAGATGGATCACTCAAAATCAGCAAGATTTAGTTTGAAATCAATTTGATATATGATAATGCATATGTACTTGACACCAATGTAGATATCTGTACATGTAGTCATGATCACATGAAAAACATGTGTGCTTGCGCAAGAAAAACATGTTTGCTTGTGCAAGAAAGAGTCGTGTGGGTGTCTGTGTATTGGTAATTGAAAATATATCTTATCCATGTTAAAAGATTTTATTGGAGTCAATTTTGGAAATGAAATTGAAGTTGATCCTTTTAACTACATTTGAGCTGAAGGCAGCTTGCTTTATGTAAACTCAATAATTCCCTTACTTGCAACTCTTAGAATAAATGAATAGAGAATGATTATTCTTTAAATCAGCTTAAAGTAGATTGTTATAATGCTAATGAAGTTGTTCAATATTTGTCAAAATGATCATCTACATATAAACGGAGTTTTTTTTTTAATATTATTTTTTACTGGGAGCTTTTTCTTCTTTTTGTATGTCTGAGATCTGCCATAAAAGGAATTTTGTTCATCATGATTGCTAATTTTCTTTTCTGCTGTTTCAATCGATTTTTTTTGTTACGAATTGCATGACGGGAGTGTCACTGGCCTTTTTGTTGATCAGTTTTCATGCCATGTTTTAAAATTCATTTGGTAGCTGATAGACTGGTAATTTAATGATTATTTTGGTAGCTATATTCTAGTATTCTACACATTGTCTTCAATATTAAGTATTTTCATTAATTTGTTATTTTCTTGTTGTTAATCCACCTGTTTTTTTTATATTTTTATACGTGATGATTTTAGCGTTTAACTTTGGTGATAAATACACAACGTTTCCTTGTCTCAACCAGATTCGCTCCAGGTGATACCAACTTGGTGCTTCGTGAATTTGAAAAGTGTGGTACAATATTGAAGCACCTCCCTGGTCCTAGGGATGCAAACTGGATGCATATTCTCTACCAGGTACTTTTCTTTCCAAATTCAGGTTTTATGGATGGCTGGCTTTCTGCATGTTCCGCAGTTTTGAAGAGATAACTTTATACGCTTGTATTTTCAAAATCTTTTATATTATTAGAACAAACATCAACCGTTTAAAGTAAACCAAAGGCCATGAATTTGAGTATAAGATTTTGCAAACCATTCAGAATAGAAGTTGATGATTTTACTGTGTATTTTATGATTTGAATGGTATTCTCCTAAATATAAATATTCAAATACTAATTTTGTTAACATATTATATGTCAGTTTCATAAATGTAATTTCCTCAACTATATATCTATTTCCTTGACGGAGTAAGGGACATTTTCATTTGCCTCGAATATTAGATAAAGTTCTCAACTTTACAATCTCCACAATTACGAACAAAATGCACATGCTTCCCAAAATTACTTGCTCGGGTAGACTTTGAGGAGTGCTAGCTAGCAGTCAGCACAATGCCAAAATTTATCATGTAAATATCTTCACTATCAGCAAAAAATATCTTCGGTCTAATATTATTTTTCTTATGCTGTTCAGAATCGTTATGATGCCCGGAGAGCACTTGGCAAGAATGGTGCACAAATAAACAGTGTTCTGATAATCGGTGTGAAACCAGTGGACTATGCCCAGCGGCAGTACCTGGATGAGAGACTCAACAGCAGTAATCATGCCAGCTTACTGATACCTTCTTTTTCTCCTCGCACTACGTATGGTAGGAGCACAAGTTCCTCAATTGCTGCTAGTGGTATCGGTGTCACTGCTCGACCTAACACCCATCTTAATGGTGGTGGTGCTTTTGCCACTGATGGCAAGGGACAACGTTCAACTGGAGCTATTGCTTCTCCTGCAAAGTCGGTTGTGTCCAAAGTCATGGACTTGATGTTCGGAATATAGAAATTCTTTCCCTTCAGTATTTTGTTGCTGCTACCTTTCCGGCGATTCTGACATAGAGCTGTGTGATTATTTTGCAAAAGATGCAGCTTAAGACCGCAAGCTGATAAGGTAGGATGTTATTTGTGTCAGTTTAATCTGAGGTTCATCATCTGTTGGGATTGATTTGATGAAGAGCCACTAGTATTTGGGTTCCTTATTTTTTTGAGATTGGAAGTATTGCTGAATGGGCAAGTCTTCAGCTTGGGACTAGTTACAGAAGACTGTTTATCACTCGTAGCTGTTCTGAAGTCTTCATTATAATCAATCCTAAAGCCGATAGCTTCCCTCTTATAAATTTAGTCATTTAACAATCTTTTGTTTAATCTCTTATAGAGTTGAAATTTTCTGAATTTAGTTCAATCAAGACGGAAGGTATGTAGCATATGCTGGCTTTTTCTAACTTTAGCTTAGATTGATGAAACTGAATGCACGAGGAACCCAAAATGAAATGGTTTTTTTCGAGGCTCTTTAATGGCTAGAGTTTAGTGCATTTGTTTTGAAGTTTGACCGTATTTGCATGGTTGACGCTGCCTCCTATTCTAATTTGATATTTGTGCTGGTATAGCGAAGACATTGATTGTTAATGCGCTTTAATTTGATTTTTTTCCCCATGTTTTTGAAGATCTTTTGCTGATGATTGGGCTGTGGAGGTTATGACTGATGTGGCTCTTAATTTTGATGCAAAAGTATTCATATTTTGGCCCTCAAACTTTGGGCATGTGCCACATCACATGGTCTTTGTTTAGACGTGCTCAATGTAAACTTGATGTGTTAAAAAGCATGCTTTATTTTGGTCTGCAACTCCTTCGGAAGCTTGGCTGCCACTGGAAGCAGTATCGTAGTGGTTCTTGTTGCCGAGGAATTGAGCTGTAATCGAGCCGAGTCAGTCGGATATGTCATGGGCTAGATTTAGCTTGTCATGGTTTAGATTTGTCTTGGTGGCATTATAAGTTTATGTTTTGTTTGAGCTCAAGTTGAGCTTTGATATGTATGTTTATATTTGGCTTGTTTAGATTTTTAAATTACTGTGCGTGTAATTTGATATATTTATAATAATTGAAGGAGACTAAATAAGCTGAAAATAGATGCTTTTATAAATTTTTAAATAAGATTTTAACAAATTTGAATAAATAAGCAATTGAGCAAATTTTTTTATAATTTAATGATATAAATAAATTTTAATAAATTAGTTTGTTGAAATAAAAAAATAATAAAGAATTGCTTTAAAATAATATATATGTTGATATTAAATTATAATATATTATTATATAATTAGTAATTAATTCTAAATATGATTGATGTTAGATTATATTATATTATTTTTTAAATAAATAAGTTGTAGTTAATTAAGTTTTATTTATATAATATTTTATATATGATCTGCGCTATTATTAAATTTAAAAGCGAGCATTAAATAAATTATATGTTGAACTCATGAACACAAATAAATAAGTTGGATCGTACTCAAAATTAGTTCAATTAACCTTTGATTTTTTAAAATTCCTCAAATTTGTTTATGTGCTAATTTGAGCAAACTTGCATGAGTATTCATTGAGTCGGGTTCTTGTTTGAGTTGTTCACGAGTGCATGGCTCATTTATGGTACTACCTGAAATTTAAAAAATAATAAAGAATTAATTTAAATTAATATACATGTTGATATTAAATAATAATAAATTATTGTATAATTAGTAATTAATTCTTAATTATTATTGATTTAGAGTATAATATATTATTTTTTAATTAAATAAATTGTTGTTAATTAAATTTTATTTATATAATTTTTTATATTGATATGGGCTATCATTAAATTTAATATCAAACATTTAATAAATTATATGTTGAACGCGTGAACACAAATAAATAAGTTGGATTGTGCTCAAAATTGGTTTATTTAACCTTTGATTTTTTAAAATTCCTCAAATTTGT